AAAAAAATTGACAATCGTACGCTAATCGAATCTACAAATTGTTTATGTCATCTCAAAACTTATTTCGAGAACTACATTATAAGTATATCGAATAGTCCAAATGGATATTGAAAATAGTTAAAAATACGTTAAACGTGAGTCTTAAGAAAGACGTCTAACTCACATTTTTTTTAAAATTCAATTATTTCATTAACATTTATTATTTTTGTGAAACAAATTTCTCAATATAATTTTCATCATTTTATTAGGAAATTTTATATGGAATATGATATCAAATATTTTCGAAATTTTACATCCGGAAAAGTCATATCCCATGTAAATTTTCCGATGTAAAATTACATGGGGTATGGTTTTTTTGGACGTAAATTTTCGTTTGTAAAATTTCTCCCAACTTCTTTACAAGTTCGATTGTTCCCCCTAACTTTTAAGTTCTGTGTCCACTTCTGACCACATAGATATCTCAACAGAGTAATTTCTCACACAATGCAAGTCTCACGTAGTAACTTAATAATTATATCAAATAATTAGTTATCAACTTTCGGCAATCAAATTTAACATTTCCAAATAAGACAATTAATTCTTTAGATTTTAGCAACAGGCGATGATTACCAAACCTAATCCTAATGGTCATCCCCTCACTGGTAGCTGCTCCTCGTCGTCCTGAGCACGGCTATGGTCTTGGTTTCTCCACGGGACTTCTGGATTGGCCGAAAAACACAAATACAGATCCGGCCAGATTGGTTTTTCACTTTTTCTGCACCGATTTGTTCCTGCCTGTTTCCACAGATTTTCTGCCTTTATTCAGCCCAGATTTCACACTGTTATTGCTCACGTAACAGCTCTAATACCGTTTGTCGTGGAAGTACTTTGAATCGCGCACAAAATCAGGCTCAGTTTTCCATATGAAAAGGCTCGAACCCACAACTCAAGATTCACTTCGGTTGCCGCTTTATTGTACCCACAAAGGATACAAATCTGGTGGTTAATTGCAGCCACAAAGGAGGAGAAGTATGGAGGAAGCAACTGGTTTAAACTCAAGCACAAATGAGAGAAATCACCAAAGACGACAGCCTCTTTTTCTCTGCAATTTACACACACAAGGATGCAGTAGCAAGAGGAAGGAATATATAGATTAGGTTGTAACCAAAGTTGAGCCAAGACAATTAAGGTAAATGAGCCAACATTATAAGTACCCTCCAATAAGTGAAGTGGGTCATATAAGCAAACTTAATTAATTAAGCTGCTTCTAATTGTCCCTTAATTAATTCAAACGATGAGGTTAAAAACCATATTGATTCAAAGATTTAATTGGGTTTAATGAATTATTTCATCATCAGTAAATTTATACATAAACTTATGTAAGCAAGTGATTCAAAGATTCAATTAAGTATAAATCTTGCTTGTGAAACCCAACTAATGAAAAGAAAGAAACATAGCAAAAGCGAGCTGAAAATGGCAAAGGATATGAGAATATAAGCAGTTGCTTCTTCCACAAATTATTACCATCTGCATATAATATACCACATGCTAATTTCTAGATAATATGCTAACTATATGGCAGATTAATTAACATAAATTACATTCATGCAAATTCTCAAAGCAATAGCTTCATTATCTTCGATGGGCAACCTCGTGACCTAGCATTGGATCTACGGCCGGCACTGAAGCACAAAGTACCAGTAGGCGATCCATAATCATCTTCATCTATCCTGGAATGCAAAGACATCCTTGGACTTGAAATTCTGCGCTGCTGTTCGCGTGAGCTTGGAGTATTAAATGGAGACGAAGGCACCGAATTAAATGAAGACCATGATGATGAAGGTGACGACGAGGAAGGTGACTGTTGGTCCTGGCTTTTCTTAACACTTATCTTAGGCAGAAAATAATGTATCAGACTGGATTTCGAATGAATTTTCACGGGATTTCTCATAGGAGTAGAATGGAATGAAGGAGGGGGTGTTAAAGGAGGAAGAGGGTTTTCCCTGAACTTGACTTTAGGCGTACCGGGCTGTGATTCCCACAGGAAGGGAACTCCAACAGAAGAATCCCTATTATACACTTCAAAAGACTCATCAGTACAAATTGATAACTCCCTGGATAGACGTCTAGAAGAGAATAACTCTTCTGACTCAATTCTGATGAACTTCATTGGATCATCTTCTGAGATGCTGCCAAGCATTTTGCTTAGTTTCTAGGGTTCTTAATTAGGGTTTGTACTTTCTTGAAAGGACTTGAAGAAGAAGGTAGAGAAGTACGAGAAGAAACTCTCAAGTTAAGTAAGATGGAGTAGAAAAGTCTTTGACAAAGGAAGGCTAACATCCAAAACATGACTTCCCAACTCCCAACACTAGGCATGAATTTGGCATGTATACATATTATACATTGATAAAGATTTTGACAGAAAACTTGACAAAATTACATATGGGAGTAAATAATTGATTGAAAAAATTGACGGTGTTTTAAATTATCTAATAATAGAATGTTGCGTGACATTATATCAACCTAAATGTTCGTATAGCATGATTCAATATAATTTATACATGCACAGTTAGGCTTCCAATGTCCTCATTTCATTTTTTTTATTTCTTGAGTGCAATGATGATTTAAACTTTTAGATTAGGTAATTCAATCAGAGATCCTATCAGAATAGCAAAAAAAAATGTACTTTCAAATTTCCTTACCAGTCATTTATAAAATCTTATGCATATCAAATATTTAAAGGGGTTGAAAGCTAAATTTAAATAAATAAAAGTTTTATATCTCTAAACGTTTAAGCTTTTTTGAATAAATGCTTTAAGAAATAAGTAGGTTTAAACATCCCTATTATTCGAGATTTGAAACTTTGTTTTAGTAGCAATCACGTTCACATATAATCAAAAAATAATTGCAAAAGCGTCATATGTTAAATTAAATATATTATTGAGTCAAATAAACATACGCAATGATCAATTAAAAATTAACAAGTCAATAAAATGCTGCATTGGAGTATGCTAATTAATATAACGTTCAATGTATATCTTACTCTCTACCTCTCTAAACATACTATTATTTATTTTATTTTCAATACTGTATAGATCACGTAAATTTTTCGTAGTTCGATACGTTACTATTCCACCGATTAATCAAAAAAGTTTAAACCATTGAAATGAAAAGGACCGAAAAACCCAAAATCCAAAAACAAAATAAATATAGTATTTTAACACTATAAAATCAATCAAGTTTCAAATTAATCATCCCTTAGCCCCTCTTGATCATGAACTCAAATTAAACAGTTGACAAAAAGTGTACCTTAGAGAAGATGGCGTCCAAATCACATGCAATCTCACGGGTCACATGTCAATCTGAATATTTCTTAATTTTCTTGGTGACCTGAAAATTAAAAATAAACCGCCTTCAGTTTTGGATCTACAAACCAAACCCGCGTAAGAAAGTTGACTTTTTAAAGAATATGACACAAGTTGAATAGTGTGTGTTTTTTAATTATTTCATTCCTGAGGTACCCGATCAGGCAAGAAAAAGACCAAACTATAATATTCCTGAAAGAGAGTATAGATCATGTTGACCCAAAAAAATATGTCAAGAGATACCAAGCTCACTCACGTCAAATCAATGAGGAAATGGACGCGGGGGTACTTTGAGGCAAGAGACAAAATGTTCAAACTCCGACGGGTAAAACAAAGACGATCGCGCTAACAACGATCACTGGACAAAAGCCAAACTACTCTCTGTAGTACAAACATGAATATGTGGAAAGATAAATGAAATGAGTATATAAGTTGTTGTCTTGTATGTTGAGATTTGTAGCTCATAAACATGTAAAGAAGATAAAAAATAAGTCTCATGTTTGTATATTCACTCAAGAGCTCAAGTGTATTTCGAGTTTTAATTGTCAATTTTTTAACCAACAACCTAACCAACCTCTTTCAGTTACAGAGAGAACCCATCTATATTGCCTTGGTCGACGTGGTGATCGTTGGATTAGAATAACATGGCCTCATCTCCATAATTGAAGCTTTACATCACTATCTATTCATACAATTAATACATTGATAAGGGGTTAATCGCCATGCACAATAGGTTGATACACTAACAAACTTTATTACAATTGTTACATCAATCACCTCTAAGAGACCTTCAAATCTGTTACAAGAGACCGCGTCGGCTTCATGAACTTCGGACGAGTTTGAGAGCTTCGAAGAGATCTTTGAGGTAGTTCTCTAAGTGGAGACTTCAGCTCCTTTCTTTGCTTCATTAGGCAGTGTTTTAGCATAAGTTGTAGTGTTGTGTCCTTGAGGCAGTGCCTGAGCATGGACTTTAGCCTTGCAATGCAAGAACTTCGATTTTGTTTGATTTTTTCATATTTTGATATCATGAGTCTTTATTTGACTTTTTTCTTGACTTTCTAGTTACGTGGCTCTTTTACTCTGAGCCTCGAGGGCGAGGCGTAATAGATCACTAACTCTCAAAAACGAGTATTGCTTAGGTTGAAGCAAATGAGAGTATAACTGCTCTTCTTATGCCATTTGAACCTATATATCTGTTCTTTAGGCATCAATGCCATCTAGATCGAAAGTCTTTTTAACTTATATTTCACATAAATATCAACTCATAGAATGTATTGGAGATGCTATTTAGTAACTCCATTAGCTCATGTCCATTATAATCTTATGCGAACACTATGAAATTAATGGTAGCATGATGCATCTTACCTTTTTAGATAAATATGCCACCTACTCAACTTGTGCCATCAACTAGATTTACATATATTTTCAAATTAATTTTGCAGTCCTGGCTTAATTAAGTGACATATTTACTTGAAAACATAAGATTTATTCGATTACTGTCAAATTACAACGTCCATGTAGAATTGAGACATTCAATTTCTTAATGGACGACTCTGGCCTTAGACATAAGTGAGGGCCTTGTAGATATTGAAACAACTAAATAGAAGTACATTAAGCTGATGTGATGAATTAAAGTTGACTGGCCCAATTGAAATTTCATCGAAAGTCGAGTGTCCAAACATGAAATAAACCCTTCATCAACAGACCTAGAAACAAGAGCCCAGCATGGTCGGTTTTTTTAGTTGGGCCTGTAGGTCTTTTCAAGGGGCAATGATTGGTGGGGATCATGACTGGCCCAAAATATGGTGGGCTGCTTTACAAACCTCTAGATGTTCATACCTTTTGACGAGCGACAACTTTTTAGCACCACCAAGAACTTTATAGAGTTCTACACTTAAATGCATGTGTTGTGAGTCGGGTGGGTCGATCAAGATATTTCAATATCCGAAATCATCTATTACATTTTGAGTATTTCAATATGAAATCAATGAAATTCACATAATTATTGCAAACGAACTCTCATAAAAAAAATAAAAAAAATTTAAATGGGGTGACAATACAAATTATTTTTTCGATATCTAGTAGAATTATAAGCAATAAAATACACAAAATACATATTTCCAAACATTCTTAATCCACTGCAAATGTGTCACTAAATACTATTTAATTTTGATTGCGACTACTTGTGGCGCCTCAAGAAGGATTTGCAGGACAGACAACGCGTAAAGTGCGATTAGAAGTGGATACGAGAACGAGAGTGGTATGATTCAATTTCAAATGGATTGGAACCTCCGATTCAAAAGGTTTGATTCCGATTAAAATAATCACCCTCTGCTTAAATGCACATTTGTTAACACTATCTAATTGGACTCATTAAAAGTGATTAGACCTCCGTTGAAGTGCACGTTGAACTTGTGATGTGTTTATTAGGTAGTAAGCCCCTCTTCGATGGCAGAGAAATGGGGGAAAATGATATTTTGAATAATAATTTTTTTGGAGTTTGTGAAGTTGAAAGTAGGGATAAATTTCGAAATTACGTGTAGAATATTTTATTGTGTAAATGTGTGGTTGAAAATAAGTATGAGAAATAAAGAGTTTTAATTTAAAAAGAATCAAATCGAGCCTAATATTTAAAATAAAACTAAATGATAAAGTCGGCAAGTTATTAACTATTTCATTAGTAAAATGATGAAAACTTAGAAAATATTATTTGGAAAAGTAACTAAAAAATAAATTAAACTTACTTTTTAAGAAAGGTCAAAGTTTTACTTAGCAATTGTCATACCAACCCTTTTAATAAACGTGTTGAAATTCTATAGTATCATTTGACGACATCGCAAAATATAAATTTGCATTTTATTTATAATTTTTTTAATCAATTTTCAATCACTTATTTCATCAATATTTGTAAAAAATTACTAAAATATCTTATTTTTAGCTAAATCGAATGGAAGAAAATTAACGAGAAAGTAAAAAACAGAGTAAACCTAATTGTCGGTTACGATGGGCAGAGGGAAATGAGCTCCAGATGTTTCAATTACGAGGAGCCATTCGGATTCATTCGTATTACGTATTGTACCTTTCTGTCTCTTTGATGTATTCAAATAAACGTTTGACCTTTCTTTCTTTCTTTATTTCTTTCTCCTCTCTCTCTCTCTTCCTGGAGTTAAGAACAGATCATTCTCAAGGCTAAGTCTTTCTGGATTTTAGTTTATTTGCCCATCGCACAATTTCTTAACAAACGCTTTGGCTCTCTCTCTCTCTTTGTTCAGAGAATAACCAAAAGGTAATAGCTAAATCTTAGCTCTTTTTATTTATTATCAACAGAGATTTTGTGGGATTTTTTTCTTTTGTGTTGATATCTGAATCTAGATATGGATGAAAATCTTTCCGTTTCTTGTTCATTTGTTTCTTTAAACTTTTGATTCTGTTACTGTTTTAGTATTTTCTTTTAGGTTTAATTTGCTTATTGCTAAATCTCTGTTTTAGAATATTATCAATTTTTGATCTTGAATATGGGCGTTTGAATATAGGGATTTTTTTTCTCTGACACACTTTAGTAGACATCTTGTTTAATCTATGGAAAGTTGGAAACTTCAGTTTTCTGGAATATTCTTAGAAATTGATAGGAAATATCTACTTTTTTCTGGAAATTGTAATTAACATTCGAATCTTAGTTGTGAAAATACCTAGATGATTACAGGCTGATCCCATAGGCCATTGGCAATCACCCTTCAGTAGGATATATCAGAAAATAAATGTAGGAAAGCAACTAGAGTTTAATAAAAGCATAAGAAATTAGGAGCTAACAGCTATCCATTTTCTTCACCACATAAGGTATCTATCGAGGATCCTGGCTTTCTGAACTGGTCAGTGTTTGAAATATGTTTGTTTATTTAATTTATGTATGTTAATATCAGTTTATATGTTGATATTTATTAAAATATATTTCGTGATAGAAAATAGTATGGAACCCATAAAGTTCTAGTATTTGTTTTTTACCCTTGATTTTGCCAACAATTATGGTAGGAAGTTTAAATAGGCTTCATCATTGTTGACTTCTCAAAAATTATTTAAATAGATCAACCTTTGGCTTGGTATGGACTAGATTATGTAGTACAATCTTAAATGACTTCTGTCACTTGTGCAAAAATGTTCTTTTGTTTTGATATGTGAACTTCACGCTTTTCAGTAATGTACTAAATCTTATTCAATTTTTACAGAACTTTTTCAGCATTTTCTTTGTTGATCTCCAAAGAGAGAAGCCAGGGAATGCTGAAATATGTGCTTGAGAAATTTGAGACCTTGCTCTGATGTTTGCAAGGTTTTGGCTTTAAGCAAGCTTCCTCTCTTTGTCCTTGATGAGACCAATGCTATAAGCCACGGTTCACATACTCCTTATTCGAAACTGCACAAAAGGGCCAACAAGTCGTAAAATGCAAATCATGTTGACACATGACCTGTGTGATGATGGTTAAGTCGCATTAACTCATTTTTACTTTTGTGTTAATTACTATTGGGGTGAAGGAAAAAGAGTAATATTTTTGTTTTAGGTTTTGTAGATTTGTTATGGATCATAAAGTTAGTGTATTGATGCAAAGATATGAATTAGGGAGGTTATTAGGCCAAGGTACATTTGCCAAGGTTTACTATGCTAGGAGTATCAATACTGGGCAAAGTGTAGCCATTAAAGTAATAGACAAGGAGAAGGTTATGAGAGTCGGGCTCATTGCACAGATCAAGAGAGAAATATCTGTTATGAGATTGGTCCGTCATCCTAATATCGTGCATCTTTATGAAGTCATGGCTACGAAAACTAAGATTTATTTCGTGATTGAGTATGCTAAAGGAGGTGAGCTTTTCAACAAGGTAGCCAAGGGTAAGCTTAAGGAGGATGCTGCACGAAAATATTTCATGCAGTTAATAACTGCTGTTGATTTCTGCCATAGCAGGGGTGTCTATCATCGAGATTTGAAACCAGAAAATTTACTGTTAGATGAGAATGAAAATCTGAAAATTTCTGATTTTGGTTTAAGTGCACTTGCTGAATCAAAGCACCAAGACGGACTCCTACACACTACTTGTGGAACTCCTGCCTATGTTGCTCCGGAAGTGATTAACAGGAAAGGCTATGAAGGGGCCAAAGCCGATATCTGGTCGTGTGGGGTGATCCTGTTTGTTTTATTGGCTGGTTATCTTCCATTTCATGATTCAAATTTGATGGAAATGTATAGGAAGATTGGCAAAGCAGAATTCAGATGCCCGAGTTGGTTTCCACAAGAAGTACGAAGGCTACTTTTACGAATATTAGATCCAAATCCAACCACTAGAATTTCAATTGCGAGAATTAAGGACAACTCTTGGTTAAAACGGGGATTGAATTCTAAATCTACAAAACATGTTGCAGAAAGCAGTGCAACTGGTTCATCTAGTACATCTGCGGCTTCTGGTTCATTGGAAAACGGTAGCACAGCGGCCGAGGATGAGCAAGAATTTAACAGGCTTTCAAATTTGAATGCATTTGATATCATTTCCTTGTCAGCTGGATTTGATCTGTCTAGATTGGTTGAGGAACCTAGTGCAAAGAAAGAAACTAGATTCATTTCCTCGAAACCAGCTTCTACCATCATCACCAAGCTCGAAGAACTTGCCAGGCGTTTGAAGTTGAAGATAAGTAAAAAGGACAGAGGGTTGTTCAAATTTGAAGGGACCAAAGAAGGTAGGAAGGGGATTTTATCAATTGAAGCAGAGATTTTTGAGCTCACTCCATGTTTTCACTTGGTTGAAGTAAATAAATCGAATGGAGATACTCTGGAATATAAGAAGGTATTAGATGAGGGTATAAGACCAGGTCTTCAAGACATTGTTTGGGCTTGGCAATGTGATCAACCTCCACAGGCACCACACGAGCCTCCATTTGAGCATCGGCAACAGCCACTTCCACAGGACCGGCAATCACATCATCCACAGCAGCAGCAAGATCTGCTACAACGACAACTGCTGCTGCAGGAACAAATACCTTGATTATCAGTCTTCACCAAGTTTTTTGTTGATTAGCACCAGATTCTTCCTCGCGTCTCTTTTTGTAACAAATCCAACTTAAATAACTAATGTGTGTTTAGTCGTATAATGTTTTTCATATCATGAATGTATATATCCTTAGGTACACCTTGACACTACATTAGGATGGCTAAGGCTTTCAGTAAGAAATGCACAGATTAGAGCTGTATGACCTATGTTTCTAAGTTTGTTTTAAAGGACTATTAGTTCCCTTGAACATTAGCTGTCCGTTCTCATTTTGGGCACCGAGGACACTTGAACCGTGCCCTATCTGATACAACATCATACATAAAGTTGTACACATTTCAATTTGTAGACATGTGGAGCTGTATTGAATGTAAAACTACTTTATGCCTTGAACTATTAAGGGTTTTCTCCTCCACCTTTTTGTTGATGGTAACAGCATCTCATAAATTGCTTAGGGACAAATGGATACATGGCTACCAAGAATTCCAAACATTTCGTGCTAATTTGTCTTACATGGGTCGCTAACGTATAGCCCCTCCTAAACAAAGGGATCCTTGTTGGCTCAATCTAGACAGCATATTTTGATTCATGTGATCAGTCAAAAAGAAAGAGAAGAAAAAACATTTCAATCATGTGATACAATGGACGATCTCTCTCAATACACATGGTCAATGTTTCTTTTAACTACGACCTTTCATGTTGAATAATTTTTTTCCATTTGGGTTTGAAGTATATATTTTTGTTTTTCATGATTTTGCTCGAATGTATAGAAAAGAGATCCGTAGCAATGAAGGAAAAGGTAAGTGTAAAGCTCGTGGATTAACAGATTTGTGAACAAATGTAGCAGATGTCATGTACTACCACTTCTCATCAGTATATTAATGGATGAAAGGGGTTTTTTGCCCAATAGTACGCTAAAACAGTCAAAAAAACCAGACTGAAACTAAGCACGCAAACTCAAGCTCAACATAAGAGACCATAGGAAGTAAAAGATTTCTAAAAATATGCTTCATATAAACGATCCATTCAGTTCTACTTTATTTTGGATGACAGACCGAAACCCTTTAAACTAAAAACAGGAGAATCTGTCAAATCAATTATTTCAGTATATGCATTTGGTCTTCTCTTCTTTCTGCCAGAATAGCAAGGTGAAGGTGTAAAAACATCTATAACCTCAACTTCATAATTAACTATTGGACTCTTCATCAAGATTGTATCTTCGTCAGCAACTAAGGCAGTTGTTGTTGATTGATTCTCGAGTGGATGGTCCATCAACTCTGTAGTAACTTCTTCTACCAATCTCAACGTGTGCCCATCTTCAATGCCACCGGCAATATTATACGAGCCGGTACTAACAGATGAAGATGTTTCAATTGGGGAGTTTCTCTGCTGTCCCGTCCAAATAATTTCTGAACAACTACTACGTTCATAACGGGTTTCTTCTACATGATTGATTTGTTTTCGTCCGTTTTCTGGAATAATACCTTGATCGCTTGGAGATTGGTGATTTGTTGCTGCTCCCATTGATGATTCTTGATCGCTTGGAGATTGATGATTTGTTGCTGCTCCCATTAATAATTTTTTGTTCTTGCCCCTCGTAGAAAATTCTTCACCACCGTCCCACTCATCATTTTCATATGAATTAGGATTGCTCCCTGTGTAACAGGGCAACTCATCCATGGAACAAACTTGGATCCTCATTTGAACGGGCAAGTTTGGACAACCAGCAGTATACGTTTTGTATTTTGTTGAGAAGAAATTTACAGTAAGGTTCAAGCTGAAAATACAGAAGACACCAAAAAGAAAATGTAAAAATCTCGATTCTATGAAACTTATCTCAGTTAAATCAACTCATGATCGCTCGAATATACCTATTCCAGGCAGGAAGTGTGAGCATTGTGTATACCAATTTAATTTTGTTGGTAATTCCAGAAAGGGATTTAAAAGTGGCAGCCGCCTTTCTAACTGCTAGAGATTCTACTGGGTGTTGCCATGCCCACTCAAACTGCAAGGATAAAATTAACACACCACAATTACTGGGGTTCATCTTAAGAAGAAAGATAAATTTCCAAATTTACGACCTTTCATATGCATTTGCACACAGCATCAAGACACAAAAACACTAATCAGTAATTTATTGATCATGTCTTTCCGGAGTAAAATGTTTGGGCCAATTATCACAAAATTTGAGGTTGGGCAAGCTGAAGATTAGAATAACAAAACATTGCTATATACGTAGGCCTCTAAATTCGTTTATCATTTAAATTTAGTCTTTAATGTGCCTTTGAAGTATTTATTTTTTCAAAGTCCTACTAATGCATAATTTTCACGAATGGATTGCTATAGTGAAACTTGATGTCAATACATTTTTCTGATCTAAGCTTCAAACCATTAAATTGAGTCTTAGCCCTTAGGGAAGCTATACTAAGGACGAGCCTTGAGGACTAACCACGACATGAATGGTAGTTGGTTCAACCGCAGGGCTAAACGTGTCATTGTAATCTATTCATTTCCAGGTCTTTGGTGAGAGCCCTTTGCAACCAGACAAGCCTTGAACCTATCGATCGAACCATCAAACTTGAGTACCAACTTCCATGCCCATTCTTAACCAATGCTGTTCACCAACTTGGGTTTATGAATGTTGTTCTCGGCTCGGGGTTGTCATTGTATGGGTAGGTTGTGGTGATGTAGGCAGCTGTAAAGTGTTTTGAGGTTCATGTAAATTTAGAGTAGATAGGGCATTGGGAAAGGTAATTGATGATTGAGCTTCGCTGGGCAACTGTTGAGGAGCATCTACTGCTGATGGTGAACTGAGTGATGGTAATGCAGGTAATGAAGAGACACGGATTGATGGTAATCCAAGTGGTGATAGAATTGGTGAAAGGAAATAAAGATTCAACAAATTTGAAATGCCGAGAGACGGAGATTTTGGAAGTAGTTAGGTGTAGCCCCGAAAATAGTTTCATATGGAGAGTAAAGATTGAGGGGTGGGGGTTGGCATACGATTAATTAAGTAAACAACTGTGTTCTGGTGTGTAGGGTGGTGTAGTTAGATGAGAATGTGGTAATGAAAATGGGTTTAACTTCTGATTTTTTGTTTAATAAGGTAAACAAAAATTAGCTAATATTTAAAATTAGATTCTAGTGAAATGGTCAACAAAGATTTCATAATATTTAAAACCATCATTTGAAATTATTGGTGAAGTCCAAACATCTGAAAAATTAGCTGATAAAGAAGAATAGAGTGTGGTGTGGAGAATGACAATTTATGGTTTTTATTACAAAGGCAAGCATTGCAAGAAAAATTAGCTGATAAAGAAGAATCTAAGCCTAGATTATTGCTAGAAACAATATGTTTCAAAATGGAAAAAGCTGGATGTCCTAATCTCTGATGCCACTAAGATACAGAAGTCTTGTATGAGAAAAATTAGCTGATAAAGAAGATATCTAAGCCTAGACTTGTATGATGTGTTACATGGTGAGATGATTGCCATGGTGTTGTAAGATGATTAATAGGAGGATTTAAGGAGTTGTTTCAGTGAACTGGTATCAGTATGAATCGACAGATTGCTTTGCAGTTTTGGCAATATCCCAAATATGGACGAGAAGTCAATTTCCTGAAGCTCTTCAAAGGTTATCTCGAGCTTGAACAGTTTGAACAAGTTCCTTGTAGTCATCACCAAGTTTATCTAGTTCCAAGAACAGCAAGTTCATCAGCTCGTGCTTTTATTGCCTGCAGAAATTCAGTAACACTTTCAGGACCCTCTGTAATCTTCTTTAAGTAAACAGTTGTTTGATGGTATTGTGGTGTTGCTTCGGGTGAGTGCAAGGCCGGCCCTGTGGAGAATGAGGCGCCTCAAGCCCCCCACTCTTTCACAAATCACAACAAATTGTGATTTTCCAGTAGGAGTCCTCAATCCTCGTTTGAAGAGCTGTATTTTCCAGTAGGGTTGTGTATGGGTAAATTTTTCAAGAATTAGTTGTATTGGAGTGAGCTGTTTATTCTAACTGAAAACATAAATTAAGAATTACTTAAATACAAAAATTTTGGAGCCCCATCAACTGGAATTTGCCGACAAGTTACAAATTGTGTAGGCATTTCGGCATGAAACATTAATCAAATCTAAATAATTTAGTTGTTCAATCATTTCTTTCTCTATTGATAACATAGTCAAGACATTCAATTTGACATAGTTGATCGGAGGTAAGTCTTGATCAATTTCAATTTGGAGAAACTTCTTTCTGCAAATGCAGCTCTCGTTGCTTCACTTGGCATATAGAAACTCAAGATTTTCAACTCTAAACATAAATCATCTTCACTAATGTCCATGTTCCAGATATTTCTCAAGATTAATACAAAGTTCAACAAACTTGAATAAGTTGCACTCCTTCGACAAATTAAACAAAAATTCAAATGTGTCATCATATTATTTGAATTGTTCAAATCGAGTCCTTAGAGAAGATTTAATACAGCCATTTCGCTTGTCTTTTTTTTTCCCTTCATCCATGGCAATAGCAAATCCAATTTATCCAATTATATAAGCATCGAAATTCTACCTCTCACGTAACTTGTTATTGAATATATTGGAAATGTTTGAAACCTTGTCGATTTATATAATTACGACCTGGTCGGTTTATATGATTGTTTATTGTAAGATCAATTGCATAGAAGCACTTAGTAACTCTATTGAAAACTTTAATTGTAGGATGATTGAGATATTTTGTAATTGTCTTTTAGGTTAATCATTGAGCTAGATAAAGACTCATACATCATGCTTTGGAGCTCTAAAGAGAAAAAGGAAACGAAATAAAATTGCATTAACTCAAAGTCAAGCAGGGGATATTGACAAGTACTTTAAAAGCCACGATGTGAATGCGTTGAATGAGAATGAAATAGCGATTCAACCTGCCCTTGTTAATGAAGTAGACGATAAGGATGAAGAAATGATTCAACATGTCTATGTTAATGAAGTAGATGATAAGGAAGAAGAGGTTGC